TCGATCCCAATCCGCTTTTGAGTCGACTCAAAAGTTGAAATCTGAACGTCCGATATCGATCCCAATCCGCTTTTGAGTCGACTCAAAAGTTGAAATCTGAACGTCCGATATCGATCCCAATCCGCTTTTGAGTCGACTCAAAAGTTGAAATCTGAACGTCCGATATCGATCCCAATCCGCTTTTGAGTCGACTCAAAAGTTGAAATCTGAACGTCCGATATCGATCCCAATCCGCTTTTGAGTCGACTCAAAAGTTGAAATCTGAACGTCCGATATCGATCCCAATCCGCTTTTGAGTCGACTCAAAAGTTGAAATCTGAACGTCCGATATCGATCCCAATCCGCTTTTGAGTCGACTCAAAAGTTGAAATCTGAACGTCCGATATCGATCCCAATCCGCTTTTGAGTCGACTCAAAAGTTGAAATCTGAACGTCCGATATCGATCCCAATCCGCTTTTGAGTCGACTCAAAAGTTGAAATCTGAACGTCCGATATCGATCCCAATCCGCTTTTGAGTCGACTCAAAAGTTGAAATCTGAACGTCCGATATCGATCCCAATCCGCTTTTGAGTCGACTCAAAAGTTGAAATCTGAACGTCCGATATCGATCCCAATCCGCTTTTGAGTCGACTCAAAAGTTGAAATCTGAACGTCCGATATCGATCCCAATCCGCTTTTGAGTCGACTCAAAAGTTGAAATCTGAACGTCCGATATCGATCCCAATCCGCTTTTGAGTCGACTCAAAAGTTGAAATCTGAACGTCCGATATCGATCCCAATCCGCTTTTGAGTCGACTCAAAAGTTGAAATCTGAACGTCCGATATCGATCCCAATCCGCTTTTGAGTCGACTCAAAAGTTGAAATCTGAACGTCCGATATCGATCCCAATCCGCTTTTGAGTCGACTCAAAAGTTGAAATCTGAACGTCCGATATCGATCCCAATCCGCTTTTGAGTCGACTCAAAAGTTGAAATCTGAACGTCCGATATCGATCCCAATCCGCTTTTGAGTCGACTCAAAAGTTGAAATCTGAACGTCCGATATCGATCCCAATCCGCTTTTGAGTCGACTCAAAAGTTGAAATCTGAACGTCCGATATCGATCCCAATCCGCTTTTGAGTCGACTCAAAAGTTGAAATCTGAACGTCCGATATCGATCCCAATCCGCTTTTGAGTCGACTCAAAAGTTGAAATCTGAACGTCCGATATCGATCCCAATCCGCTTTTGAGTCGACTCAAAAGTTGAAATCTGAACGTCCGATATCGATCCCAATCCGCTTTTGAGTCGACTCAAAAGTTGAAATCTGAACGTCCGATATCGATCCCAATCCGCTTTTGAGTCGACTCAAAAGTTGAAATCTGAACGTCCGATATCGATCCCAATCCGCTTTTGAGTCGACTCAAAAGTTGAAATCTGAACGTCCGATATCGATCCCAATCCGCTTTTGAGTCGACTCAAAAGTTGAAATCTGAACGTCCGATATCGATCCCAATCCGCTTTTGAGTCGACTCAAAAGTTGAAATCTGAACGTCCGATATCGATCCCAATCCGCTTTTGAGTCGACTCAAAAGTTGAAATCTGAACGTCCGATATCGATCCCAATCCGCTTTTGAGTCGACTCAAAAGTTGAAATCTGAACGTCCGATATCGATCCCAATCCGCTTTTGAGTCGACTCAAAAGTTGAAATCTGAACGTCCGATATCGATCCCAATCCGCTTTTGAGTCGACTCAAAAGTTGAAATCTGAACGTCCGATATCGATCCCAATCCGCTTTTGAGTCGACTCAAAAGTTGAAATCTGAACGTCCGATATCGATCCCAATCCGCTTTTGAGTCGACTCAAAAGTTGAAATCTGAACGTCCGATATCGATCCCAATCCGCTTTTGAGTCGACTCAAAAGTTGAAATCTGAACGTCCGATATCGATCCCAATCCGCTTTTGAGTCGACTCAAAAGTTGAAATCTGAACGTCCGATATCGATCCCAATCCGCTTTTGAGTCGACTCAAAAGTTGAAATCTGAACGTCCGATATCGATCCCAATCCGCTTTTGAGTCGACTCAAAAGTTGAAATCTGAACGTCCGATATCGATCCCAATCCGCTTTTGAGTCGACTCAAAAGTTGAAATCTGAACGTCCGATATCGATCCCAATCCGCTTTTGAGTCGACTCAAAAGTTGAAATCTGAACGTCCGATATCGATCCCAATCCGCTTTTGAGTCGACTCAAAAGTTGAAATCTGAACGTCCGATATCGATCCCAATCCGCTTTTGAGTCGACTCAAAAGTTGAAATCTGAACGTCCGATATCGATCCCAATCCGCTTTTGAGTCGACTCAAAAGTTGAAATCTGAACGTCCGATATCGATCCCAATCCGCTTTTGAGTCGACTCAAAAGTTGAAATCTGAACGTCCGATATCGATCCCAATCCGCTTTTGAGTCGACTCAAAAGTTGAAATCTGAACGTCCGATATCGATCCCAATCCGCTTTTGAGTCGACTCAAAAGTTGAAATCTGAACGTCCGATATCGATCCCAATCCGCTTTTGAGTCGACTCAAAAGTTGAAATCTGAACGTCCGATATCGATCCCAATCCGCTTTTGAGTCGACTCAAAAGTTGAAATCTGAACGTCCGATATCGATCCCAATCCGCTTTTGAGTCGACTCAAAAGTTGAAATCTGAACGTCCGATATCGATCCCAATCCGCTTTTGAGTCGACTCAAAAGTTGAAATCTGAACGTCCGATATCGATCCCAATCCGCTTTTGAGTCGACTCAAAAGTTGAAATCTGAACGTCCGATATCGATCCCAATCCGCTTTTGAGTCGACTCAAAAGTTGAAATCTGAACGTCCGATATCGATCCCAATCCGCTTTTGAGTCGACTCAAAAGTTGAAATCTGAACGTCCGATATCGATCCCAATCCGCTTTTGAGTCGACTCAAAAGTTGAAATCTGAACGTCCGATATCGATCCCAATCCGCTTTTGAGTCGACTCAAAAGTTGAAATCTGAACGTCCGATATCGATCCCAATCCGCTTTTGAGTCGACTCAAAAGTTGAAATCTGAACGTCCGATATCGATCCCAATCCGCTTTTGAGTCGACTCAAAAGTTGAAATCTGAACGTCCGATATCGATCCCAATCCGCTTTTGAGTCGACTCAAAAGTTGAAATCTGAACGTCCGATATCGATCCCAATCCGCTTTTGAGTCGACTCAAAAGTTGAAATCTGAACGTCCGATATCGATCCCAATCCGCTTTTGAGTCGACTCAAAAGTTGAAATCTGAACGTCCGATATCGATCCCAATCCGCTTTTGAGTCGACTCAAAAGTTGAAATCTGAACGTCCGATATCGATCCCAATCCGCTTTTGAGTCGACTCAAAAGTTGAAATCTGAACGTCCGATATCGATCCCAATCCGCTTTTGAGTCGACTCAAAAGTTGAAATCTGAACGTCCGATATCGATCCCAATCCGCTTTTGAGTCGACTCAAAAGTTGAAATCTGAACGTCCGATATCGATCCCAATCCGCTTTTGAGTCGACTCAAAAGTTGAAATCTGAACGTCCGATATCGATCCCAATCCGCTTTTGAGTCGACTCAAAAGTTGAAATCTGAACGTCCGATATCGATCCCAATCCGCTTTTGAGTCGACTCAAAAGTTGAAATCTGAACGTCCGATATCGATCCCAATCCGCTTTTGAGTCGACTCAAAAGTTGAAATCTGAACGTCCGATATCGATCCCAATCCGCTTTTGAGTCGACTCAAAAGTTGAAATCTGAACGTCCGATATCGATCCCAATCCGCTTTTGAGTCGACTCAAAAGTTGAAATCTGAACGTCCGATATCGATCCCAATCCGCTTTTGAGTCGACTCAAAAGTTGAAATCTGAACGTCCGATATCGATCCCAATCCGCTTTTGAGTCGACTCAAAAGTTGAAATCTGAACGTCCGATATCGATCCCAATCCGCTTTTGAGTCGACTCAAAAGTTGAAATCTGAACGTCCGATATCGATCCCAATCCGCTTTTAAGTCGACTCAAAAGTTGAAATCTGAACGTCCGATATCGATCCCAATCCGCTTTTGAGTCGACTCAAAAGTTGAAATCTGAACGTCCGATATCGATCCCAATCCGCTTTTGAGTCGACTCAAAAGTTGAAATCTGAACGTCCGATATCGATCCCAATCCGCTTTTAAGTCGACTCAAAAGTTGAAATCTGAACGTCCGATATCGATCCCAATCCGCTTTTGAGTCGACTCAAAAGTTGAAATCTGAACGTCCGATATCGATCCCAATCCGCTTTTGAGTCGACTCAAAAGTTGAAATCTGAACGTCCGATATCGATCCCAATCCGCTTTTGAGTCGACTCAAAAGTTGAAATCTGAACGTCCGATATCGATCCCAATCCGCTTTTGAGTCGACTCAAAAGTTGAAATCTGAACGTCCGATATCGATCCCAATCCGCTTTTGAGTCGACTCAAAAGTTGAAATCTGAACGTCCGATATCGATCCCAATCCGCTTTTGAGTCGACTCAAAAGTTGAAATCTGAACGTCCGATATCGATCCCAATCCGCTTTTGAGTCGAATCAAAAGTTGAAATCTGAACGTCCGATATCGATCCCAATCCGCTTTTGAGTCGACTCAAAAGTTGAAATCTGAACGTCCGATATCGATCCCAATCCGCTTTTGAGTCGACTCAAAAGTTGAAATCTGAACGTCCGATATCGATCCCAATCCGCTTTTGAGTCGACTCAAAAGTTGAAATCTGAACGTCCGATATCGATCCCAATCCGCTTTTGAGTCGACTCAAAAGTTGAAATCTGAACGTCCGATATCGATCCCAATCCGCTTTTGAGTCGACTCAAAAGTTGAAATCTGAACGTCCGATATCGATCCCAATCCGCTTTTGAGTCGACTCAAAAGTTGAAATCTGAACGTCCGATATCAATCCCAATCCACTCACCAACCTTCTCCTTGTCACAAACTCCACTCACCTTTATACACCTGCCCGAGTGATGCAGCAGCCACAGGAGCCGGGCTGAACTCAGCAAAGAGCTCGCTGGGCGGCACTCCCAGCTCGCGCTGCACTGTAGCAAGTGCCACGTGGCAGGGGAAGGGCGCCATGCGATCCTGCAGCAGCGCCAGCTCAGCGCAGTACTCTGGCGGCAGGATGTCGGGGCGCGTGCTCAGGGCCTGCCCCAGCTGTTGGGGGGTTGGGAGAGGAGGGGGGAGGGGGGGGCAGGTGAATAGGGGGGAAAGGTTGGGGATGGGGTGGGGGTTAGAAAAGTCGAGAAGGGGTAGAAGAAGGGAGGGTAACTTGATAGCATGGGAGGGAAGTGGCGACGTCAACCGACAGGCGATTTCTGAGGAGAGATTGAAGAGGGCTTGCGCATATACCTTGACATAGAAGGGGCCGAGGCGAACGAGAGACTCCCTGAACTGACGGAGGGAGGGATGGGGAGGAGCAGAGAGGCGATGAGAGGAAGATCGACGAACTTGGTGGATGGAGGAGCATGTTCGCAAAGGTCCATTGCTCTCAATGCATACAGTGCACTGTCCAATGTCTCCTTGCCGCCTCACACTCTCACATCCGAATCTTCCTACGCACCTTCCTAGCGCGCACTCTCACATCCGCCACCATCTGTTTCCGCCACCACATGCGCCCCAGCTCCGCTATAGTCACACCAGTGCGCCTCGCTACTGTCACGGGCCGCCATCTGTACTCCGCCGCGATCGCCTCAGGATCGTATCTCAGCCGTCCCTTCCCTGACGGGGCGTCGGATGTATGGCCAGGTCCTGTTTGCGTGCGAGTTGAGGGAGGTGTTATCTGAGCGTCGTGAAGGGGAGGCGTTATCTGAGTGGCCTGGCGGGGAGGCGGAGGCAGCACCTGGTGGTGGGGGCTACCTGCGGGCGAGTCGTGATTGGCACGGGTGCTCGCGGGGAGAAGTGCGGGGAGGCATGTGCGCGTGTGCGTATGTGGAGCAGGGGGTGTGTGATGTGGGAGTGTGTAATGGAGGTGTGTGCTGTGTGGGCGGCACACTCTTGCGATGTGAGCGGGTGGAATCAACACGCGCAGGAGCGACGGCGTTTCCGAAGGGAAAGGAACGAGGAGGGGCCATGGGCGTAAAGGAATTGCCGGCGGGACGCCGAGCGCTGAGGTTGACGGGGCAGTAAGGTGCGACGGGGAAATAAGATGCGACGGGACAATGAAGGGCGACGGACGCGGCGTGCGAAGGACGCTGGAAACAAGAGGGGTGCTAGGGGGGGACAGTAGCGAACGTGGCAGTGACGAGGGGAACAGGTCAGCGGAGAGAAGAATCGTCTTATGGCGCACTCGCTCTTTGAATCTCGTAGCCGTGAGACGGCCAACGGGCCCAACCATGTCCCGCGCTGTTTAAACAAAATATTTCTGCAAGCTCCCCCGGCCGCTATAGCAGCGAACTAGCTCAGAGAGCGCTCTGCGAGCACGAAAGGCAACGCCTTGGCACCTGGATCGAGGACATTGTTGGGATAGCGGTTGTCGACGTACGAAAGGCGCTAAAACTGCTATCGTAGAGGTAAAAGGGATTGTTGTGTTTGAAGCGTTTCGGTACGTTACAAGGTTTGAAGATCGGTTTTAGTGCATTGCGTTTTGTTGAAAGCCGTGTTATATTCTCAGCCACATGAATTTGTTGTATGATGTGTGGGGTCAGTGTTATGCTATGAAAGCCGTTGATTACCGTGTCGAAGCTCACTGAACCAGACTGTACGATGCGCGGAAGAATGCACGGGACAGCTTCTTCCCAACCAATGGTTCTTGTCCGAAGGGGCAAGATACGAACGGAACCTTTTCGAGAATAACCTTGATTTGTAGAGCGAGTTTGAAGTTCACTCCGTAACGAGGTTTTGACCTTGAAACCCTAAAACCTTCGCTTCAGCAATTTGCGGCAGGACTCGAGGGTTGCTGACAAAGACGACTCGGTGGAGGAATCAGCCAATGGAAGTGCACAACGCGCAACAGTTGTCTTGTATTAGCCACGCAAATTCAGCTCCACCGTCAACACCTTCCGCCAATCCGACGACGACCTCTCCGCAAGCGAACACCAAATGAGGAAGTCCTGCAAACCTCGAAGGCGTGTCACAAAGTCCATTTGGATGTGGTTTGGTGAGATGTTTGAGGTAAGAACCGCGGTTTGTTAGAATCACCAACGGTTCAGTACGTTTGATCGAAACTGAACTGTCATGACATGACATGACACCCTTGCCTTTTGGTTCATGTGTGGCATGATAATCTGACACCACATTCCGGTAATATCGAGGTGGATCTTCCAGCACTGAAATGGTGAATGATGGCGTGTCGTTTTCCCGCCAAAAAGTGGCATTGTGCCTCACACGGCCTTTCTCCAGACCACCAGCAAAAAACCCCACCATCCATCACAAGTGTGTTGAGGTAAAGGACTCGCTTGGACGTTAGTTGGTTAGCTAGCTCTTCTGGCAGCTATTACTCGAGCCACCACATTCGAAGTCTCGTGTTGCTGCATTGCTTTCGCGTCCTTACTCCTACCATTGAGCCTTATTGGAGCTCACTCGCGTAGACGGATTTCACGAACCCGCGTAGCCACCGCTGCAGCGATCAGGTGAATGGTAACGCTGCAACGTTCACTGTGTACATACCACATTCGTTCTTAACCTCATAACCCTGCACCTCACTGCTCAGGTGTTCACCAGCGTGGGAGCCGCCACCAAAGCGCGATGGCTCTTCGCGCAGCGAGTCTAACCGCGACGTCGAGCCTCATTCTCGACGTGCGGGAACCGCGGAGCTCTCGCCATAATCCGGTGGCTGCCCGCTGCGGATCGTCGCCTCTTCGTAGATCCGAATCTTGCAGATCTAATTCTCTACCGCTCATTGTGAATGCCGCCAAACCCCGTAGATCTGATACAAGTCCCGTCGTTGCAACAGTAGCAACAGCTAGGGTTTTTTGCTCCTCGGAACCATTCTCCACTAACTCGAGACGTAGAGGGCCGCGTGTGCCGCCGTCAGCGACGGCCTCTTCGCATCACACGGGAATGCCGGCCAGCAAGCCGCCGTCGAAGCGATCTCCCCCGCTTCACGACTCGCTTGCCACGTGTCAAGCGGTCAGCAGCGTGAGGCCCGCTCACGAAGAGAAGGAGGAAATGGACGCGGTGTCGGCTAACTTCCGGCAACCTGACGGCGCGTCGGTGGTGCCAGCGAACGGGACCAGCAACGGCACGGCCTCAGCGAACGGTGCAGCGACGAGCGGATGGAGCGGAGAGGAGCTGATTGGCTACGAGGGGAAGGGCATGCAGCAGAGACTCCGCGTGGCGGTCGACGTTGATGAAGGTACAGAGCGGTGCAGAGTGATACTGGAGGGTTTGCAAGGGTGTGCAGTGGTCCAGAGGGATTGGCGTTGGTGCTTTGCGGTAGTGAGTCGCCTGAAGGTATAAGGAGGGTGCAGAGAGATTCTTTACGGTACTCAGAGATGTAGGGTGAACAAGATGTGGCACTAGGACAGTCTAAGACTCGTATTTCGCAGAATCTGACGACGCGTCAAGGTGTAGTTGCTACGCTGGTGACCTTCCCCCGATCCTGACAATAACTGCACGCATTAATTCAACCCTCTCCCCCCCCCGCCCCCCGCACCCCGCCCACCCCCCTCCCCCTCTCCCTTCTTCCCTCTCCCACCCCAATCCTTCCCCTCTCCCCCGCCCAAAACCAACATCATCCTTCTTTTCTCCCTCGTCTCGCTCCCCAGTGCTGGGAAGTTTCCTGTCAACGCTGAACCTCTTCTGCGCTGAGAAGTACTCCGTCCGGCACGACCTGCACGAGTTCTACGTCTACGACTTCATGAAGGTTGGTAACCCGTTTCGCCGGAGCGAGTCGACCGGTTTCGCGATTTCGTGGATGCGAGCGCAAGAGTTTGAGCCGCGTTTACCGCCGTCGCAGAGGGTTGAGTGAGAGGGAGGAAAGTGACGAGAGGGGGATGATGGAGGGTGGAAGCGGGATCGGTAGCGAGAAAGGCAGAGGCAGGGGGAGAGGGAGAGGGGAGGAGGTAAAGGTGGTGTTAGGGGAGAGGGAGAGGGAGAGGGTGAGGGAGAGGTAGGGATAGAGGTAGAGAGGGAGAGGGAAAGGACGGAGAGTGAAGAAGTTGAAACGGGGACAGGGGATTGGGGTTAACACACACACACGCGCAAACATGCACACACACGCGCACTCATGCACACACGCAGGCACACACACAACGCGTGCGTACACACACACACACACACACACACACACACACACACACACACACACGCACACAAACAAACAAACGAGCCTCCCCTCCCTTACCCCCCCCCCACACACACACAAGCGCGCGCACAAGCACACATACTCTTCCACTTCCTCACACACACACACACACACATACCCACACTCAGTCTTCCCCCTCTCGCCCCCCTCTCCCCTCTCTCTCTGCTTCCCGTGCCTCTTCCCTGCTGCCCAAACCCCCATGGCACTGGAAATGCGACTGTGTGGTGCGGTGCGGTGCGGTGTGGTGCGGTGCGATGCAGGTGTGGAAGTGCTCCCAGGAGGAAGGTGAGCGTCCTTCTTGCGCCCTCCCTCTCTCTCACTCCGTCACCATCCAACCGTCGCTCCTTCATTCCATTGATCCCGACACCCGTTGAGGCGCCCAGAAGCTCTTAAATCTCCCTTCCCTCCTTCACCCGCGAACCGTTCTCAGCGAACCACCGAGCGCACGAATTTTTCCAAGTCTATATTGTAGGCGCCTCAATAACATTGTTTTTAGCCGCACTTGAGCGACAGCATCCTCATCACCAAGCTCTTGGCTTCAAGACATCTCAAAACCCCCTCCACCTCCCCTTCCCCCTTCCTCTCCCTTCCCTTATCTCTCCCCTCGCAGCCAACCACCGAGTGCACGACTTTTTCAAGTCGGCGCATTTCAACGACGGCATCCCCATCATCCCCGGCGCCTTTGACACGCTGCGCCGCCTCTCCCACTTCACCGACCTCGTTGTTGTCACGTGAGCTCCCTCGGCCTCTTGTACACTCGCCTCGCTTTGCCCTCTTGCCCTCACCCCGCTTGCTCTCTTGCCCTCTTGCCCTCACCCCGCTTGCTCTCTTGCCCTCTTGCCCTCACCCCGCTTGTTCTCTTGCCCTCTTGCCCTCACCCCGCTTGCTCTCTTGCCCTCTTGCCCTCACCCCGCTTGCTCTCTTGCCCTCTTGCCCTCACCCCGCTTGCTCTCTTGCCCTCTTGCCCTCACCCGGCTTGCTCTCTTGCCCTCTTTCCCTCACCCCGCTTGCTCTCTTGCCCTCTTGCCCTCACCCCGCTTGCTCTCTTGCCCTCTTGCCCTCACCCCGCTTGCTCTCTTGCCCTCTTGCCCTCACCCCGCTTGCTCTCTTGCCCTCTTGCCCTCTTGCCACACTGGGCTGCGCCGCCTCTCCCACTTCACCGGCCTCGTTGTTGTCACGTACGCTCATTTGCTCTCTGCTCTCTCTCGTTGTCATTGTCACGAACGCTCACAGCGCTTGCTCTCTTAAATGTGCGGCCAAATTGAATATACGTTTTTCCAAATTGAATCTATTTTCCCATTGGCATGTATGTGTGCATGTGTGCATTTGTGTGCATGTGTATGCATTTGTGTGCATGTGTATGCATTTGTGTGCATGTGTATGCATTTGTGTGCATGTGTATGCATTTGTGTGCATGTGTATGCATTTGTGTGCATGTGTATGCATTTGTGTGCATGTGTATGCATTTGTGTGCATGTGTATGCATTTGTGTGCATGTGTATGCATTTGTGTGCATGTGTATGCATTTGTGTGCATGTGTATGCATTTGTGTGCATGTGTATGCATTTGTGTGCATGTGTATGCATTTGTGTGCACGTGTATGCATGTGTGTGCATGTGTGTGCATGTGTGTGCATGTGTGTGCATGTGTGTGCATGTGTGTGCATGTGTGTGCATGTGTGTGCATGTGTGTGCATGTGTGTGCATGTGTATGCATGTGTGTGCATGCAGGTCGCGGCAGCATGTGATTCGAGAGCCCACGTTGGAGTGGTTGGACAACCACTTCCCAGGGGTCTTCTCCTCGGTGCACTTCGGCAACCACTTTGCTCTCGAGGGCACACCCCGACCCAAGTCCGAGATGTGCCGGTGCGTGCCTGTAGCCTTGTATTGAATGTACCAAAGAGTGTGCAGACCCCTTCTTTGCTCCATCTACTAACCTCCCCACCACCTTCCCCCCCACCATTCCTTTTCCAATTTCCCACTGGGGAGCGGGTGCTGATCGACGACAACCCAAGCACACTATGCCATGGAATATCCAAACCCCCTTTTTTGCTGTATGTCACGTCACGCTGCTACGCATCCCTCACTCCCCACCCATTAGCGAGCTAGGCTCTGAGGTGCTGATAGACGACAACCCGCAGTACGCCATGGAGTGTGTGAACGCCCTCTTGCCCTTCACTCTTGCTGCTAACCCAACCCCTCCCACCCACGACCACCAGGGAGCTAGGCGCTGAGGTGCTGATCGACGACAACCCGCGGTATGCCATGGAGTGCGCGGAGCAAACCCCTTTCCCCGGCTGCATGTTTCGTTGCTGACCCTCATCTTCCTCCCACTCCCTTGCTCCTTTCCAACAGCGAGCTGGGCGCTGAGGTGCTGATAGACGACAACCCGCGGTACGCCATGGAGTGTGCAGAGCACGGCATCCAGGTGCTGCTCTTTGATTGGCTGCTGCAGTACCCCTGGAGCAAGACGGCGGGCGGCGGGCCGCACCACGAGCTGATCGAGCGTGTGAGGGACTGGGGCGAGGTGGAGGTGGCTGTCAGGCGCATGGCGGTCGATAGGGCCATGCCTTGGATTAAGGAGGAGAGGAAAAACGCACATAGATGACACGGGTTGGGCAGAGTGGGTGGAAGTTGGAGAGGAAGGCAGGCAGGGGTGTTCTGAGTGGAAGGTGATGGACCGGTGAAAGGGTAAGGAAGGGGGGAGGGGGGATGGCAGTGTGGCGCATGGTGGTTGGTGGATAGAGCCATGCTGTGGATCTCAGTGGGGCAGTTGAATGCGCACATATGACATGGGTTTAGCTTGAGGGGAAGGGGGGTTTCAGGGGGTTGCTCACTTGCAGGCAGTAGTGGCGTCTTGCCTTGAGACACGCAATTTTGGCTTCGCAAACCGCGATGGGCTGAGCTGACACTGTGAACTGTCAAGGAATACGACTTGCGGTGTTTGGAGCTGCAACAAGGGTCTCTACGGTATTTGATGGGGAGTTGCATTGGATGCAGGTGCGTGAAAGTTCAGTTCAATTGGACCATGCATGTTGTTGACCTTGCAACTCGAAAGGTAGCTACTGTCTCTGAAAATCCATCACTATATGGCCCCATGTATTGATTTCATAATGGATTCGGGAGCTCCAACACTTCAGCACTTGATTGCTTACTAATTTAAGCAGATATATCATCAGTGCAACTTTCCATTGTGCGCTGTGTTACATGTCTCTTCCCTCAACTTTCGGCTATCCCGCTTTCGCCACACTTGCCCAGCGGATCAGCATTGATTTCCAGGTCCAAGCGGTTCGCCGTGGGTTCTGCTTGCTTCTGATCGGTATGCGGAGCCGACATTATGGTGTCGCGAAGTGGGCAGCTCAGATGTTTCGTTTGGGGATGGGAGTGACTTGCCCCTCGCGCCACCTTCCCGCCTAGTTTTACGGCGTGTTGCAATTCCCGGTGCACTGCATCGGCTCGGCTCGAGTTGGCACGAGCCAGGTCGTTCCAGCCTCGCGCCTCGTGAACCTCGAAATTTCGTCATGAAGTTCGAGGTAGTTGTGAAGCGATTTCCTGACACGAGTCAGGAAATCGCCAGATTGGCGAGGGCAGAGTGGCGGTTTGGCAGCGGGTGTTAATTTGCTGGCACGTGTCAGGTCGTGCTGGCTCGAGCCAAGGCGAAGCAGTGCACTGACTCGGCTCAGGGCATGCCGTGCCAAGTCAGTGCACTGCATTGACTCGGCCTCCCGCTTGCCTGGAGCCTTCCAAAACCCGTGCCCCGAGCCGAGCCGACGCAGTGCACCGGGAATTGCAACACGCCGTTAGTTAGTCCGTCCCACCTTCCGACCGACCGCACTCACTCCAGAGACTCGATTCCCGACCCGAACCGACTGCTTCTCACTCCCATCCCATGACTGACGAATGAGTAAGCGCGCGGCTGACGTTTGTGATGAAAAGTAGGGTTTTCTAACAACATGTAGTGGTGCCGTGATGACTAGTACGCCCTTTCGTCAGTCCGCGGCGCGGGAAATCGTGAGCTTGCTGCGGCAGCGGGAAACACGGGAGGCCGTGGATAGAAGCGTCGATAGATCTCCGTCGTCCATTCGGCACCGGCTTCTGCCCGAACCGTCCGATACCTTGCGTGAAGACTCGATGGAGGTGGAAGGGGAGTCGATTCAAGATATCGACATGAGAGAGAACACAGAAGGATTCCCGAGGACGAGGGAGAGGGAGTTGGATAGTAGGGAGGCGGGGGAAATGGAGACGGAGAGAGAGCATTTGGCTGTTATGATCGATGAGGAAACTCCCCTAGTCGCTCCACTCAATAGCGGGGATGCGATGGGACTCGGCACCGGGAGCGACGGAGGATACGGAAGAGACGGAGGAGACGGAGGAGCCAGAGGAGCAGCGAGGCTAGGAGGAATGAAGGAAATGTTCATGGATAGAGTTGGAAAGGCGCGAGACGGGTTGAGCGGTCTAGATGTGAGCGTGAGGAGTGTTGCCATGTCATTGAATGGGGGGATGAGGAATGAAGAGGAGGCGGAAGACGAGGACCAACCGCAGTGCAGAATCTGCCTGGAGAGCGACGGTGCGTATCAGTTCGTCCCTGGAATACGCGTTGTTTTCGAATTCTCCAAAAACACATTCAGCATGACGAGGAGGCGGAAGGCGAGGGCCAAACGCAGTGCAGAATCTGCCTGGAGAGGGATGGTGCGTTGCCACTCGTCCCTGCAATACGCCTCCGCGCTCTACTTTCGATGCGCCTCAAAATCAGAATCTTCCCGGGGAGCGATTCTGAGGCGCCTCAGAATCAGAATCTGTGTGGAGAGCGATGGTGCGTAGCAACTCATCCCTGCAATACGCCTCCGCGCCCTTTCACTCTCAGATCCGCCTGTGATGGCACATGGTGGCCTACCAGTACATGATCTGCGTTACTGATGCCAGTTTTCAAACCTAAGATGATGGAAAGTGCCACGTATGTGTATCAGGCATGCATGTGTTTCAGGCATGCATGTGTTTCAGGCATGCATGTGTTTCAGGCATGCGTGTGTTTATGCATGCGTTTCAGGCATGCATGTGCTTCAGGCATGCATGTGCTTCAGGCATGCATGACATTCTCTGATGCATACATACTACTGTCAACTCCTCACCTCCCTCCCAGCGGGTCAGGACTCCGTCGCCCCCTGCAACTGGTTCAAGGCTCCTTTGGAATCGTGCTTTGAGGCATTGAAGAAGTTAATAACGCGTACCCATGCCTATTGCGTCCCCGTCCCCCTCTGAGCAGGTCGGGACCTCATCGCCCCATGCAGGTGCAAGGGCTCGGCTCGGTTCGTTCACCGGCACTGCCTGGACCAATGGCGGGCCACCAAGGAGGGGTTCGCCTTCTGCCACTGCTCCACTTGCAAGGCTCGCTTTCAACTACGCGTGTGCCTGCCGCCCGACCTGAGATGCCGCCATCTCAAGTTCAGGTTCTTTGTTGCGAGGGATGTTGTGCTCGTAACGCTGCTGGTGCAGATGGTGAGCTTTGCCTCTGCACCTCTTTTGAGGCGCCTCCCTCAAAGGGCATCTCTTGCACCGCCTCTTGGCCTGTCCTGTGCCAAGCTGAAGTGTCCCCAGACATTTTTATTTTTTTATTCTTCCCGTCCCGTTTTTCTCTCTTCACTCTTCATTCTCTCACACGCAATCTCTTGCACCTCCTTCAGCCGTTTCTACCCTTCTCCCCTCCTCTACTTCCTTTGAAACCACCAGCTGATAATCTGCTTTGGCTACACTGTCTACATGGCGGATTACTATTGGTTCAACCTCGGGTTTCAGAAAGCATGGGGCGGGCAAAGCCCAGCAGCCTTCTACTACATCTGTGGTGAGAAGCTGTGGTGCGTGCAAACAGGCATGCGGTGTTTACTATGTAGTCGACTCTAAAATAGACACATCACACGCAGAAAACATGGGCCGGGCAAAGCGCAGCAACATTGTACTACATATGTGGTGAGAGAGGCAGTGGTGCCCACCTCCCTGCCTCAACCCCCCTTCACCAACCCCCCCCCTTGCCCTCCGTCACCCCCTCTACTTTCTCATTCATCGCTTTTCTCACTCGCGCTGCAACTGCATGTTATGTTACCCTACTTGACCGCCTCCCAACGTGTTACTACGTTGTTCATGCCGTGTCCCAACCAGGCGTGCTGCTCTTCCTCGTGTCCCAACCAGGCGTGCTGCTCTTCCTCGTGTCCCAACCAGGCGTGCTGCTCTTCCTCGTGTCCCAACCAGGCGTGCTGCTCTTCCTCGTGTCCCAACCAGGCGTGCTGCTCTTCCTCGTGTCCCAACCAGGCTCCCTGCAGAGACCTGGGCGCCTGCTGCTGCGACCCCCTGTGAGTGGTTTGTTTTGGCTCCCCAAGAGATAGAAACAGCCGCTTCCTAAAGAGACCTAGCAGCCCCCTGCAGAGGTGAGCACCCCCCTAAAGGGACCTAACAGCCCCCTGGAAAGACCTTGGCATGTGCTTTGCTGTGAGTGCCGCTCTGAGTGTTAAAGGTCTGCTGCGATTCACATGCATGCAGACGGTTTCACAACCCAATCTTTACATCCCCTTCCTATACCCCTCCTATAATGTACAAAATCCCCCTTCTATAATGTACAACATCCCCCTCCTATAATGTACAACATCCCCCTCCTATAATGTACAACATCCCCCTCCTATAATGTACAACATCCCCCTCCTATAATGTACAACATCCCCCTCCTATAATGTACAACATCCCCCTCCTATAATGTACAACATCCCATTCCTCCCCATCCCATTCCTCCCCATCCCAGTGTGTGTGGCAGCTGTGACTGCCACGTGGCACCCATCTGTCTCTACTCAGACTGCTCCGGCTGCACTTTCTGCTTCTCCGGCTGTAGCGACTGCGCCGCTGCCATAGGCGGATGCACTGGGGAGGCGGGGCTCCTTATCCTGCTGACACTTGGCGCGATCCTATTGGTCGTGCTGGCACTGGTGGGGGTGTTTTACTGCTTGCTGGTCTCAACCCTGGTGGTGCAGCGGATATGGCAGCGCCACTATCACGTCCTCGCTAAAAGGATCCTCACTAAGGTATGGCAGCGCCACTGTCACGTCCTCGTTAAAAGGACCCTCACTAAGGTATGGCAGCGGCACTATCACATCCTCGCTAAAAGGATCCTCACTAAGGTAGTTGCTCACTCCCACGCTGCACATTTTGGCAAATGCCTGTAGAAGAATCAGTTGCTATTCAGCTGTGCCGGCTCTTTAGTTTTGGGGCCTTGCAACGTTCACTCGTGCTTGTCTATGTAACTGTTGCCTTTGTTTCTTCTTTCCCTTTTCTTTTAAAAATTATCGCGGCCCCCGTTGCTTGTCTTCATCATTGCGACCACCATTTCAGCTCGTCTTTCACAAGTTCATAGTTCATTAGTTTGTGACTTGTAGCTCAAATCGCCCGCTGTTTCATAAGTGAGAAAACATAATCAGCTTCTGCATGTGTGCTGCTGCCTCTCCGTGTGGGCCTCTTGCCCGTCCATCTCCATTCTCTCAATTTTATGTTTTGGCAAGTTCAGCGTGTAGTGCACGACTTATCTGCGATGCGCTCGTTTACAGAGTCTAATCACTCCTGCCTCTATGTCTCCTTGTCCTCTTCGGCATCTGCCCTACCCAGGAATTTATTGTGGAGGATTTGTCCGGAATGTCTCTCCCTCCAGATTGGTCGCCACCGCCACTACTGCCCGAACACGAAAGGCAGCTCAAGGATTTGGGGCTTCTCTGATTGTGCACGAACCAGGTGCTTTATTAACGCGGGAGGCAGCTCTGATTGTGCATCAGCTTCTGCTACTGATGCCCCAGTTGAAGTTTGGTTGTGAATAAGTCAGTGCAGCTTTTTTTCCTGTACAGTGTGAGTGACCCTTTCTATGTCATGCTTTCTGAAAGAAGGCATTCTTTTGAAGGCAGATAAAGCAGACATAACAAGTGCAAAGAAACCACTATCGACAAAACATGTACTGTAGAACTGGGGGTGTGGATCAGGTCAGCTTTTGAGTCAGCCATGCGAGCAGCGTGGGACACTGCATGATGACTCGCTCTGAGGGTCCATGTGGGGTGCTGCTGCTGCTGCTGCTGTTGCCTGGAGCAGCCATGGGAAGGGAGATGGGGGCTCCCTGCATGGGGGATGGGATGGGAGAGCAAGCAAGAGAAAATGCAAGCAGTGCAGGGCACTCTTATCGATTTCTTATGAGGCCCGTGTGGGGGGCTGCTGTTCCCTGGACGAGCCAGGTTCCTCAGGGGCTCCCTGCACAGGAAATGGGGTGATAGAGCAGGCAAGAGAGAGTTCGAGAAGTCTAGGGCACTCTGTGGTGACTTGCTCTTAAGTCCATGCAGGGGGCTGCTGTTGCCTGGAGCAGCCAGGCTCCCCAGAGCCTTCCTCAATGGGGGATGGGAGAGCAATCAAGAGAAAACACGAGCAACGCAGGGCACTGCATGATGACTTGCTCTGAGGTCCATGGGGGGCTGCTGCTCCTATAAGGGTACGGGTGAGAAGGTCGTTGCACTTCTCTTGAGCAAGCGATGCAAGAGAAGTGCAAGCCATGCAATGCGAACAGATGGGGCATACTTTGGGGCTGGGCGTTTCGGGCCAGGCATGTTAGAATACGTGAACAGGAATGATGAATGACTAGCAACAGGGAGATACAAGTATGAAACCCTAACTGGGGTTGTACTCTATACTGAGCACCTCACTGTAGCCTAGCGAAACTAAGAACATACAAATATGTTTTGACACACCCCCCTAGGCAAAATGAGGGATAGCCAACACAACAAACGGTCACAAGACCAGTCAGGCAAGAGAACTAAGCAATGCAACGCCCAGGGTGGATCTCAAGATCACCACTCATTCTGAGCACAAGCAAACGACCACAAGGCCAGTTCACATGCAGAGTTATAATAGCAAGGCAGTACACTGATCACAACCTAGCAAGAGTAAACATGCAGGTATAAATATAGATATCAGTGTACAACAAGTGCAAGATAAAGAGACAAGCAGGTGAGGCAGAACGGGCAGAAGCCGAAGAGCAGTGCAAAAACGTTGATGATCACCAGACCCGAGGGCCTTGGTGAAGACATCAGCAGTGTTGGCCGGAGAGGCCACGAAGGAAAAGCGAAGCAGACCACGCTGCTGCAACTCTCGAGCAAGAAAGTAGCGAAGAGCAATGTGCTTCGTTCAGTGCTCCAGTCTCTGCTCGTGACACAAGGCAAGCATGGCCTTGTTGTCGACGTACAGAACTGGAGGAGAACGAGGCCGCTCCCCCAAGTCGGCAAGGAGGTAGGTCAGCCAGCGTAGCTCCTGTGCACCCATAGCCCCAGCGTAAATCTCGGCCTCACAGCTGGAAGCAAGCACAGAAGAAGAACGAGAGGACCTCCACGAGACAGAACCAGAGCCAAGACTGAAGGTGTAACACTGTGACGAACGCTGGGTCGCCTGGTCGTCGGCCCAAGAAGCATCGGAGTGTCCTGTGAGTACCACTGAACCCCGTCCTCCAAGCACGAGCCCCATGCCCGATGTACTGCACAAGTAACGCAGTACCCTCTTCGCAGCATCCCACTGCACCTTTCGGTGTCTACCGGGAGCCACGTAGCGAGCCAGGAGGCTGAGAGGGTACGCGAGGTCAGGTCGTGTGCACGTCATCAGGTACATGAGGCGACCCACAAGCTCTGGATACGGACCACTCGGCTCTACGGACTCGTCCGAAGGTGGAGCTGAGAGCGAGTGGCCAGTAGGCAGAGGAGTGGGCTGTGGCGAGGAGTACTAGAAGCCAAAGCGCTGAAGGACCTGGTGCACCATGTGCGACTGAGTTAGGGTGATGGTGCGCCGTGCCCTGTCCCGGGTGATCTGCAAGCCAAGATAGCTCCGCAGCTCACCCAGGTCAGTGCAGGTGTGTCTCTCCTGCAGCTCTGCCTTCACTAGGGCCAGCGCCTCAGTGTCAGCAGTAGCAAAAGCCAAGTCGTCGACATACACGAGAACGTAGAACGGCGGCAGGGTAGTGACGGTGTGTAGAAACATCGACGGGTCAGCAAAGGAAGGAGCAAACCCAAGAGCCGCAAGTGTCGTCCTCAGTGTGTCGTGCCACTCGCGGGGCGCCTGGCGGAGACCGTAGACTGGCCGCTGGAGGCTCCACTGGGTACCCGCAGGAAACGACCCAGTGAAGCCAGGTGGGCGGCGCAGCCAGATCACCTCGTGAAGGCTGCCCTGCAAGAAAGTTGTGGAGAAGTCGAGGGAGTGCAGCTCGTAGTCACGCTGTGCTGCAACGTGCAGCAACACCCGAAGAGTAGTCATCTTCGGTGTGGGGGAGAAGGTCTGGAAGAAGTCGATCCCCTGTCGCTGACTGAAGCCTCGAGCAACGTAACGCGCCTTGAAGGCAGGCGGAGAACCCGGCGGCCGCTTCACTATGAAAATCCACATGCCATCGACTATGTTCGCCCCAGGAGGAGGAACCTCGTCGACGTAGGTGCCTGTGGACATCTAGGAAGCCATCTCTGTGTCCATGGCTGTCTGCCACTGAGAGGAGTATTCACCCGCGATCGCCTCAGCGTAAGAGAGCGGGGTAGGGATGTCAAGTGCATCCGGGTCTCCCTCAGGGCAAAGCAGCATGGATGCGAAACGAGGTAAAGCGGCCGCAAGACACTCAAGCTCAAATTGCCTGTCCTCAAGGACGTCACTGCTAAGGGCAGGCTCACCCCCAACGGATGGAGGACTGACAGACTCAGACACAGTAACAAGACTCGCGACGTAGTCGAGACTGTTACAATGTGAGAATGAATGACTAGCAAATGAACAAACAAGCAAGATATAGGTCAGCTCTAACCCTAAGCCTAGGACAAAAGTAATACACCTAGACTAGTTTGACACACCCCCAAAGTCTAGGTGACGGCAGTCCTGTGGAAAACAACACATATCTTAGGGTGGATCACGAAGTCACCACACAGTCTGAGAGCAAGGGTCACATGACCAGTCAGCAAGAACAAGCAATGGTCACAAGACCAGTCTGCAAGAACAAGAATCAATCATGAAATGCAACTCAGGGTGGATCACAACGTCACCACACAGTCTGAGGGCAAACAAGGGGCCACAAGGCCAGTCAACATGCATCGATATAGATATATAGGAACAGATGCAAGAGTAAAAGACAGAGCATCTCTACAGAAGCGAGGGCATGTAGACACCAGGCCTAGCTGGGTGCAGAAACGCTGGTGGGCAAAAGGCGGCAACGCCTTGGTGAAGATATCTGCAGTGTTGGCCTCAGAGACCACATGTACCACGCGGGCCTGGCCACGTTTCTGAAACTCGCGCAGAAGGAAGTAACGAAGCTGGATGTGCTTCGCCCTCCCAACTAGTCGGGGCTCCT